ATGGCTTTCATTAATGCATAGCTGTGTTCTTGCAGAAAGTGAGGCTTTCCTAGCCTGGCTGGTTTGGTGTAGCAGCATCAGTGTGGTCTCTGTTTTGTTGCTAAGGGGAAAGACCAACCTGATCTCTGTTTGTCTTGGGATAACTTCCTCTGGAAAGCCACGGAGTCACCATAACAATGTTCATTATCTGCTCTAATGACAGCTGTGTGGTGAGCCAGCTCTGCCTCGGGCAGGGCAGCGATTGCAGGCATTTGTGTCACCCCATGCTCAGATTGCTCAGGCTGCTGCTGCCTGGAGTGAGCAGCAAAGGGAAGCTCCCTGGCCTGGCTGCTACACTGGATGTCACCAGAGCTTCAGCCACTCTTGCATTCCTGTCCCCAGGCGTGGAGAGGGGTGTTCCTCACCAAGAGATCAGTTTGAGGGTGGGATGATGTTCTGCTCAGGAGGCCATGAGAACAGGGACACTCAACCTTTGCCTGTGGCTGCAAACTCACGTTTTCTGAGACACAGAGCAGGGGGAGCTGAAATTTAGGTTCCCTGTTTGAGGAATGCCAGTGCCAGCCTGTGGATGTCTTCCTTGGCCACCCCATTGTGGTTCTCATCCGTGTGAGTTCAGCCTTTCATCTGGGTCCCAGCTTGTGGCAAAGGGCACCAGTCCTCATGCAGGGGAGCAGCTGCTGTGGAGTTCAGCCCTGGGAAGAGAGAACTTGCTCTTGCTGGAGCAGCTGTGGCTGCTGAGAGCCCCCATCTCCCTCAGGTTACCCAGGCCTCAGGGTGATGCTGCTGTCAGCAGCAGGTGCAGTGTTAACTCTGGTCTCTCTCTCAGGGCATTGCTGGAGCAGATGGCCTGCCAGGTGACAAAGGAGAGCTGGTAGGTGTCCTTAAATTCAGTAGAGTTTGACTTCTCAAATAACAGATGGGTCCAGAAAGCCATGGATCACTATGGTCAGTCAGAATCAATCACCCAAGGTCTCCAACCCTGCTGTGAAAAGGCTACTCAAGCCTTGCACATGTCACAGCACCTTGGGAGACTGGGCTTCAGACGTGCATTTTCTCAATAAATGATTCTTTCTTCTTGCCCTTTTCTTTCTGACAGGGTCCCTTTGGACCCCCTGGCCAAAAAGGAGAGGTAAGTGTCAGACACTGGGGCTCATGGCTCAAAGGATTTAGGAGTAAGTATGACCACAGCATGTTTATAACTACAGAATAAACTCTGCTCTGGTGTCATTCCCTAGAAGCAGGCTTTCCTCACAACCATGCTATAAAATCTGTGAGAAAAATGGGGGGTTGTGGAATTGCAGCTATTGAAATCTGTTTGATAATTTTGCTGCAGCAAGCACTGCTCTTATCATGACCTATATATGCAAAAACACACTTAGGATGTAAGAAGTATATCTGATCATCCAGATCAGTTCAGGAAACATGAAGAAACTCTTAACTCACTCCCAAGAGAAAAAAATGGACCATGTCTTCCATTTTAAGTGGTTTTGGTCTTTTTTTTTTTTGTTCTTCGCTGCAGCCAGGAAAAAGAGGAGAACTTGGTCCAAAAGGTGTCCAAGGACCTAACGGGACAGCTGGAGCACCAGGGATCCCAGGACATCCAGGACCCATGGGTCACCAGGGAGAGAGGGGTGTCCCTGGCATCACAGGAAAACCTGGACCTCCTGTAAGTACCTGCTGCTTCTGCAGCAAAGTCAGGGAGCCTGTGAAGTGAACAAATGGATCCTGGGGTTTGGATGCTATCCAAAATAAAAAAGTTCCTGCATTTCAACAGGCAAAAATAAGGCCAGATAAATCCCAGATTGAATATCTGGCCTAACATTAATCTCTGCCATTCGTACAGTGGAGTTCTGAAGGGAAGCTGTCAGCTTTTGAAGAGGGGAAAGAACCCCCTGCTCTTCATGCAGGACCCTGTGCTGCTTCCTGAGCTCCTGGAAATGTGTTTTGTGTCCTGCAGCTTCTGCCAGGACTGGTTATTGATAAGGAGGTTTTACAAGGACAAATTATTCTGTTAACTGCAGGGGAAAGAGGCCAGTGAACAACATATCAGAGAACTCTGTGGGGAAATGATAAATGGTGAGTATTACTGAGAGAAAAGTGACTTTAATTACCGTATGAGTAGATCCTGAACATAAACATTGAGATTTGTTATTTTTTTTGTCTTCATATGAAAAAAAAATACACTGACCTTTAGTGTAAGGAAATTAATCAGGAGGTCACCTTGTTGGGGATGTCTTTTGCTGTTCTAAAATTAGTATTTTAAATGATTCATCATGGCAATGGTCAAAATGCACTGCAAGCAGCTTTGGCACAAGTGTTGTGTGAGACCTCCTGCCCTAACCTGTGTCATTCTGAAGTTCACCTCTCCTCAGTGCACCTTGTTTCCTTGGAGATCCTCAGGGAGTGTCCTTCTCTCTTCAAAGTGACTGTTCAGCCTTTGGAGGTTACATTCCCTGTTTGGGATGAGGTTAAACTCTGAAAGTTTGCTTCAGGAATCTTGTTTTAATTATTTAAGTGTCATTTGTTAGAATACGTGACATCCTTTAAAGGGGTTTTAGAAACAGGAATAATCAACCCTGCAGATTTATGATTAAAATCTCCATCTGTGGAGATGGGGAAAAAAAACCCAAAAAGCTCCAGGTTAGCTGGAGAAGGACAGATTCAATGTTTCCCTCTGCCAGGAGCAGTGGCAGGAAGTTCTGCCCAAAGAAAGAGTGCAGATGTTGGAGATGCAGTGTTTAATTGTGTTTTTCAGAGCAAATTGCACAGTTGGCTGCTAACCTGAGGAAGCCCTTGGCTCCTGGAATGACAGGACGGCCTGGCCCAGCCGGGCCCCCAGGTCCTCCTGGAACCACGGGAAGTGTTGGGCATCCTGGTCCTCGGGGGCCTCCTGGATACAGAGGGCCAACAGGAGAGCTTGGTGATCCTGGGCCCAGAGGCAAGTTAAAACTGAAACAATCTGCTTCTCTTTTATGCCCACTGAAATCAGTTGTGAACTTGTACTGAGCTCAGCACTGGGGAAAAGAGGTCAGGCCTTGGGGGGGTTCTAGATGGAGTCCTGCACCTTGAGGGGTGCCAGGTAAGCAAATCCCTGCAGCATCCAGAGCATTTGTAGCTTCTCTTGTTCTCTCCCCTTCCTGTCCGTGGCTCCAGCTGCAGAGCACAGCTCACTGTGGAAATTGTGCTTGTGATTAAAGGTGACACCGGTGAAAAGGGAGATAAAGGACCTGTTGGCCAAGGCATCGATGGGCCTGATGGTGACCAAGGGCTGCAGGGTAAGTGTGGGGAAATGATTTAATGCTTCATCACTCAGCTGAAGGCTGAGGAGGGACAGCTCTGTGTGCTGATGGCAATAGATTATCATCACTAATTTAAACGTGTGTTGACAACTCTGAGGCTCTCCAGATTAAGGGAAAGGATGATGCCTGCTTCCTGATGATTCACTTATTAAAAGATTCAAGATTAATTTATGCAAATTAATTAATACTTGGAAGAATATTCTTTATTTTGCTCTCATGTTAAAGCAGATTTTTTTGATTGGGATTATACCTGTACAACGAATAAACTTCAGGCACCAAAAGCAGGCTCTTCATTCACAGAATTTCATACAGCTAAAATATTTACAACCATGTTATCTTAAATTCTTCCACAAAAATTATACCATAGAATTGAACAATATTTATACCCCATTGCCTCAGAATCTTCCATAAAATAATTGCATTAATCCATAACACAATCCAGGTCACACAACCAAAACAGCCCTTGACCAAATTAGGGATAAAAAATCCAAAGCACATACTCCAGATTCAGGGTAAATTTATTGAAAACACCTTGTACTCAACAGGCCATAACAAGTGTGATGTACAGACACTCAAAGTATATTAAGATCTCTAAAATCAACACATATATACAGATATTAAAAAAGAAAAGATGGAAATATTTCATGTATCTTTTCCCCTCTCTTGTTTAGGACCACCTGGTGTGCCTGGAATTACCAAAAACGGCCGTGATGGTGCTCAGGGTGAACCCGGGCTGCCAGGGGATCCTGGGACTCCTGGGACTGTTGGGGCTCAGGGAACTCCAGGAATATGTGACACGTCGGCTTGCATGGGAGCTGTTGCTGCATCAACTTCCAAAAAATCATAAACCAACAGTACAAGAAGTGAAGAAGTGACTGAATATTTAAATAAACAGTGCATTGTAAGAAAACAGAATCCTTCTAGTGCTAAAAGGACAGATGCTCCTTCTATTCTATTAAGTGGAGACTTTGACACAGTTCTATGAAAAAGAAAGCATCAGATGAAAACTTTAATTAAAAGATGCTTTATGACTATCTTTTTCGCCCCCCAATTATTTTCCAGAATTTTTACTGCTAAACAACCTCACCTTTCCTTCTTCCCTTTGCTCAAGAGACCTGCAGGAGGAAGCATTGCTCCTTTTTACCATCACCCCCCATGTACTAAAGATCACGACTTTTTGCTAAGAAAGTTTGAGCCTTTTCCACTGAGTTCCTTGGTGCTGCTCCCACTGACTTCAGTCCTGCAGGTTTGTGCACTCAGACACGTTGTTAAGGCACTCAGGCACCGAGCTGCCTCTTCCATCAGTGGAAATCAGGCATTTCAATATCCTGTATTTTAACATCTGAACCTTCTGGCCTAAGGAATGACCATTGCTTTAGTCTGTGCTGCCAGTTAGAAATTTTCAGATTGCACCTCAAACATTTGCCAAGACTAGTAAACAGTAATCCTCTTGCAAGCAAATTCTGCAGAAGGAGTAATGTAAATATTTTAATTTCCAGGGAAGAATTTTTGTATATTTCCATATGATAACGAAGGAAATGAAGTAACAGCATTTTCATGACCTCTACTTCAGCTATTTGCACAGTAATTGTGATGGAACCCCGCCTAAGAAAGGATGCTCTTTTAAACTCCAGCCAAAACCACCTGTATGAACTGTTGTAAAAATAAAAGGAGATTTTTTTTAACCTTTTCTTTGTGATGTTGTAAATGTCATTATACAAATCAAATTAACTTGGCTAAACTGCATTTTCCACAACTGGTTTTACTAGGATTGTTTGGACATAAATTGTTGCACAATTGTTCTTATCCGTGATTTAAACCAGTATTAATTTTGGTAGAACTTTTTATACTTTAAAACTTGCTAGCATCATCTATTTAAAAAAATTAATAAAACCCCTCTCAGCTCACACACAGTTCTATTTCCGTCCGTGCCAAAGCCTATGAACGAAGCATCATATTCCTCTTTAAATATAAAAATACTTTATGCATTTAAATATCTACTATTTAAAATATGCCACTTTTGGTCTTAAGTAACAGCACAAGAACCTGTTGGACAGTTGTGTGGCAGACATTAAAAGTAGTACTGGAATTTAAAAATGTCAACACCATTGCACTACTCTTTGGAGCTAATTATGTTAAATATATATGCAAAATTCATAATACGCACAGTTTAGAAACTATGCACTCGTCCAAATAACCAATACAATATTTACATTTTAAGTGAAAAAATGGGCATTATAATATGGTAACTTTAGTTTCTTTTTACACTGGAAGAATGAGTTTGCATCTAGCCATTAAAATAACAGGCAGATGGATGTTCTACATCTCTTCCAGTCTGTACTGCATCATCTTTAAAAAAGAAGGTAAAAGCAAACAATTAAATAAGACCCCAACGCAGATTGACAAGTAAATTTTGTATAACTGAAGGGTTAAAATACTTAGTCATGACATTTTCTTGTAGCTTCTGGTCCCAAAGCCCCTTGAACAGGGCACTGATTTCCATTGCTGGTAGTTAACTTCCATTTCCATTTGCACTAAAGAATGTTTCCTTTAAATTTCTATTTATATATATTTACAAGTTACACTTTCAAATTCCTATTCAGCATGTAAATAATAAAACACGGATTGGACTATTGTCACACAATTCAGGGTGGGCAGGTCAGGCTATTTGGTCTCCATAGCTGTGCGGTTTTCCTGTGCTGGACACATTACACATGAGTCTGGTCTTCCAATTTTTAGTCTCCTGCCTGTTTTACCACAGAACACAGTCTCAAATTCCTAAAAAAATCAAAATACAAAAGATAAATGTTATATTTAATGTAGATACTTACTTGAGATGGACACTTCTGTTTCACTAGAGCCTTCAATAGGAAGGAAGAGGGGCCATACCCGTACCTGGACCAGCAGGTTTTCCAGTACACACCCTCCTAAAATTTTTGGCAGAGCCAGAATTACTCTGGAGCTGCAACTACTGCTGAGGAGAACGGGAGCTGCTTTTAAAGCATGTAACCCTTTAACTCTGCTCACCCACTCAATACAGTGTGGGCATGTAGCTGTGATCCCCCTCCCCGAACTATGTGAAAGAGGTAGAAAATAGAGACAGTGAAGGAGGGGAGGAATGATTGAAACCTTAATTTTATATTGTTGTCCAAATAGGATCATGCTCAGGAGTTGTGTAACTAAAAAAAAAAAATAACTAGTGAACTCAAACAGCTGAAAAAAATAAAAAATAAAAATTTAAAGGAAGGTTCAAGGATATGGTGGATCCTTCACAAACAGCATCAAGCAGAAGCTTTGCATCTCAGTTCTACATTATAACAGCTTTAGAACATTTCCTGTTTTCATCAAGACCAAAAATGAAATGAGATTTCAAACCTGCTTCAGGGAGTCGCCGTGCCTTTCCTGAATGTACTTTAGGAATGCAGTTGTCCACTGCAGAGTTGTTGCCTTGTCAGTGTCAATCGTGCAGAAGGGAACGAGGAGATTGAGCTCATCACAACAAACCCGGATCCTGCGCCTGCGGGCAAACACCCAAGGTTATCAACCACGGGCCAGAGGGAAAGGAAAAATACAGAAAATAGGAAAACTACTCACATGTGCTACCAGCCATGGACTTTGGGGACTGCTTTGTGTTTGCTACAAGCTTTGTGTATTTGTTTTGTCACACACAAGTCTCCTCATTTTTACAGAATGGTTGAAATGTTTGGAAATCTCTTTTTGTTTGTTTACAGAGTAAAATCACAAAGACAACCACAATGAAACAGAGATTTTCTTTTCCCCTGAAAAACACCAAACCCTCACCTCCTGCACTGCTTTTTCTTGGAGTTAACACAAAATATGTCAAGTTAACCCTTACTCCGGAGAATCAGAGTATTGCAGTACCAGTATTTTAGGCTTCAAGAGGTGTTTCATGGCCCCTGCTCCCAGAATTACCTCCTGTCTCTCTCCAGGCGGTTGTGCCTTTCCCTTCTCTGGGCGCTTCCATCCTGGGAACCACTTTGTACCTGCACACTGGAGCTGGGCTGTGCTGACTGCCAGGGGCCCTGGGCAGCTGCAGTGCTCTGGTTGTTGTCCCGGGTGTTCCGAATCTCACCGAGAGGTTTGCGGTCCATGTTTGGATCCAACAGATTTATTCGACTGCAACTTCTGTTTATGGCTTGCTTGCATAAGGTGTCTTGTTGGAAAAATAAAGATGAAAATAATGACCTATTTATTACTCTCCCACTAAACTTAAAATAGTGATCATGGAAAGTTTTTTTATGTGGAACAATCTTTGAAGCTTTACTGCCAGTCTATATTGATTCTTACAGCAAGACATGTCCTGCAGAAAACCTAAGGCACTTGCTATTCCAAAATCCACACAGCCTCAGTTTTCTCAGAGATCCCACTGAGATTGTGCCTGCCCTTGGTGAGCATTTGAGGCAGCCCTTAAAACATTCTTCAGTTTGATACTGACTGGGTCTGCTAGATCAGCTTTGGGGTAAAAGAATGTACTCCTCTGCCATGGGGTTTGGTGGTGTTTGGTCAAAGGCTGGACTTGATGATCTTGGAAGTCTTTCCCAACGTTAATGATTCTGTGATTCTAAAGAAACCAGCTGCTGACCAAGGCCCAGATTTTCAAAGCTACTTTGTAACCTCAAGTCTCCTCATTTCAAGCCAGAAGTGCTAAACAATTTTGAAAGTATAGCTAAACTCATAGGTGTTGAATTTTCTTGGAGAAACCTATCCCCATGTTGCCTATTGAGCATCTCTGTCATAAAAAACTTCACATTCATTAAAATCATATTAATACCAGAAAAGACAAAACTTCAGAAAAAAAATTAGATTTGAAGACCAAGAGAAAAGCAAGTAAAAGAAGATAAATGGTTTACCTCCAACTTTAATCCAAACTTCCTCAGGCAAAGCTTTATTTATAGCACCTACTGTCTGTTTTGTGGATTCAACTTCCTGATAGAGAAAAGGGAATGTCTTGGGTATCCCAAGGTCTTGATGTTTGGCAGCTTCCAAAATAGTGCAAGATGTTCCACAGGTCTGTGAAAACAAAAAGGAAATACTTACAGGACTATATACATTAAAAAAAAAAAAAAAATAGACTATTTTGATATCTTTCTGTTAGCTTCCTAAATTACTTCTTCAGGCAGAATAAATCCCAAATACACACAGCCATGGGGTTTTGACAGGGTGATGAATTTTGGAGATACCTCTGACATTTCTCAGTGCCATGCTATCACTTTCACTTCAGGGGTTACTGCAAAGTTGTGGAGGGGGAAATACCTTTATCATCAAAATGAATTAGAAAAAAAGGAACTATAGAAAATGTTCTCCTTGTCTTGCACAGATGAAACTGATGATAAACTGATAAACCCTAAGAAAAAGAAATCTGATGGCCTACTGCTTATTAGTGGAACACATGTTATTACAAATGCCACAAAAATGACTTGTCTTAAAGATTAGTAAATAAATTGCATTACAAATCATTCTGATCATCCCCATTCAAACCTAGCCACACTATACCACAAACCCTCAGAATTCTGCTATACCCAGGGAGCTAATACTGTCAGCATTAGAACTTGGCAGAGGAGAGTTACCTGTGCTTGGGAAGGATTAGCACTTGTAGCAGCAGAACATGCATTCATTGTAAAGAACGGGTATGTGAATGGTAAGGAATGTGTGGCAGGTGCAGCCTTATTTTTCCCTAGTGCAGCACACCTGTTCCCTTGCTGGTGAAGAGGAACACCCACCACTTCTGAGGGCTGGCGGATCAAAGTCACTAAACTTCAAACAAAAACAAACAAACACAGAAAACATACCAGGCTGACTGCTTGGAAATGAGTGCAGAAATGAAATACAGCTACAAATATTCTAGAAACTATCACCAAGATACCACTTTCATTTACTGTAAACAGAAATCACTGTTATTGCCATATTGCCCACTTCAGGGGCCAAATGAAAGAAAAATCAGTCTAGGAGGTATTTTATTCTGTGCAGTAACAAGGTGCTTCACGCCTCAATAAAACACTTTGTCAGCACATTAAGATAGGTACAGGGTTAGGTTGTAAAACAATATTTTAGCTCAAAGTTTTCCCCATAGTCTGGCCTCCACATTATAACCCAAATATATTATTATTATTATTACTGTTATTATTATCATCATCATCATCATAAATCTACTTTGCTTTTAGCAAGCTGCATGTTAAAACTAGGTAATGTTCTCTCGCCTTTATTTACAGTACATGTTATCAAGAATAAAGCTGTAAAGCAATAAATGTTGGAACTCCATGCTGTACCATTTATGCAATAAACAGAGGGGCCTAAGCTGAGCTCAGTGGAGTCGCAGCCACATTTGATGGCACAGTTTAACAAAGCCCAACCCATCCTTCTCATATATTAAAACAAGCACTATTCTTAGGTTTCATTAAGCAAATCACTTTTGAACTACATGATACATAGTTTAACAACATAAACTAAAAGTAATTGCAACACACTTGTTAAGAGTTACTCCAGATTCTTGGGGTTCTTGACATCTGGGGTTTTCTGTCGGGCTGCTGTTGAATCTGTCTTCCAACCGAGCTCTGACTGCAGGTTTAGATCTAACCTCTGGTGCCAGTGCCGAATTTTCAACAAATATGTTTTCCTTATTCTCCCCCAAGAAATTTTCACCCTGTTTAGCTTTTGCTGCACTGCATCCCGAGACTTCTACAGAGCTACTACTGTTGGGCGCTTTCTCTCTTTGGTTCACAGGGAGGTTGGACTCGCTAAGTAACATCATCCTGAGCTCCTGCAAGTCAGCATAGCCCAGGTGTGGGTTAGAACTCGGCCAGTAGCTGTCACAAGGCAACCCTGACTGACAGGTAACTGGGCAGACCGACTGGTTCCCAGAGCTGCTGGATGAGCCCCCATCCTGACTGGTGCTGGGGGAGGGCTGCTGCAGAGGGGGATCTGCAGAGGGGCCAGGCGAGGAGAAAGCGCTGAGCCTGGCTTCCACTTCACCTTCACTACTCTGCGCCTCCGTGTGTGAGCAAAGTATGTGCTGCAGCTGGGTGTACTCAATGTCCATCATCTCCACCAGACTGGCCTCGGGGGTGGCAAAGCCAAGGTTTTGCTCACCAAAGGAACTGTCACTTGAGCCTCCAGGTCCGACAGCAACGGGAGCGGGGTCAGGAACACTAGCTGGGCTCTGAGGAACGGTCTGAGGCTCCTCGGGGGCTGATCCCGACATGGCTACAGCAAACCTAATCAGTTACCAATGTCCCTTTCAACAAAAAACCATAAAACCTTCAATTGTCGGTACTATCCATTAAAAAAACCCAAAGGCAGAAAAAATTGCACTTAACCCTGATTGGCGAGGTAACAGAGTGGGGACCAAGCTGCCGCTGGCGGGGTACCTGACACCCTGACCATGTCTCCCCCCCGGGGTGAGGCCCTCCCTCCCCCTCCAGCACAGCTGCTCACGACAAACGGCCTTCACCTGTCCCCGCCCCGGCCTCGGCGGGGAGGCTGCGGGCACTCTGCGGCCTGGCACCCCCTGAGACAGCGCCCGGACGGCGGCGGGGCAGCCCGGGCG